GATAATTCCGCATAAATCTATGAATTTAAACCCTATTTCGAGAAATCAACTGGAGCTTTTCAAACTGTGATTTTCATTTGTAGGACTGAAAATTATCTTTTCTCGCCTTCTCCTGGCGACACTGTGGGCGCTTCTTCTAGGCGACATTTTTCGTCAGATAAAGTCTCTTACCTTAAGCTTAGCAGTTATTCGATAGCATGAAAAGCTACGATTGTAACGGTAGCTTCACATTCTCAAGAAACCTCCTCAGTGCGCTGCAGCAACAAAAAGATATTCGTGACCCGCACGCAGTGGCTTAGCCCGTTGTTCAAACTTCGCAACGGGTTTACTGTCACTTGTAGTTGTACTTACTCATTTTTAGCCAACTAATCATTGCTTTCTAGAATTTCAGTGATTATGTCGACTTTGGACATTGTAATATAATAAAAGAATTTCAAAGCTAAGGATTTTACTATAATATGCCTTGAACCATTTATAACATTTGACTAAATGCCAAGAACAACGTGATTATGTGCTAAATCAGAGCTTTTCCTTCACACATGGATCTACATGTGCCAAAAGCATATAAGCGTGAAGAATCGATCGAGAAGTACTGAAGTGATACGAGAAATTCTTCCGAAACGTAGAAAAAATCCCAAAGTATACAAAAGACTAGATAAAGAAACTTGCGCTCAGCTTCCTAATCAAGCTGCGCGCAACGATTTCAAGTGGGGTACCGAAAGGGATATCATGCTTCTGATTTTGCAAGCAACTGCTGACCTTCTAGGAAATCATGACGGGTATGAAAACAGTAAAAACATTCTAACAGGAGAAGAAATTTCCAGAGAAAACACTTTAGAGCACTCCTCACTAAACAGTTTCTAATCATCTGATTTCAAAGCGTTAGATATCAAGGCGGCAGTATATATCGTAAAAGAAAAGAGTACGTTGTCTAAACAGAAAAAAATTGGCACAATATAAACACATTCCAAGCGTATTGAAAATAGAAACTGATATATCTTAACTCATTTGAGTGGAGAGTAAGATAGAATAAATAAGAGATAAAATAAGTGCAAGCTAGCATGGAAATATCGCCAACGAACATCTTTGAGGTGCTCCCAATCTACATTTCGTTATACGTCATGTTAATTATCGATCGATTCTCAATGATACGTAGCAGTCATAAACAAAAAGAAATAAACAACACTTTGGAATGGATGAATTCCAACGAATAACGCATGTCAGAGCATGAAAAGAACGTCTTACCTCATAGAAAGTCAAGACTGTGCCATTGATCCTACTACCATCCTCTCGTATATTTGCGAACGTATGTAGTGCTATATTCAATGGAACATCTTTCTCCGTGAAAAACCGAAGACCTTTAGGCATACACAACTGCAAAAAAATTAGATAACTTGTTGGCGTGTTATCAAAACTCCTGATAACCAATGATTATGAACAAACGAAATGAAAACAGAGACAGCGGATTCACATCCAGCAATCCGACATACCGAAAGTACTTCATCGGAAAATTGTGCTCCTATTCGTTTGTGTGGAAAATGATGTAAGATTTTGGCGACGAATGAGCGTTGTAGAGGTGGTTTACGATCTTTTAACTCAGCAGGTGTTAACTTATCCTCTCCCCATACGCAGCTTTCACATGAGGTGTCGATCTAAACTCCAACAAATCGTATGCTTTGACGACATTCATAAGTGAGAACAAATTTTCAAACCTAGTCTACAGAGCGCGCGAAGTGCAGTAATTAGAGGTGTCCTGCGATACACACGTGGTCGATGGTTCGATCCCACGTCCAAGACTCACTAAGCTCTTTGTCCTTTCAGAGTCGGTCTTGGCCATGAGGATAGCAGCAGCTACTCGATACATTGACAGGCCACCGCGTGGCGCATCTCTTCAGGGATCGATTAACACAAACTTCATTCTTTACACTTTATTACTAGTGTTTTTATTCACTTCACACCATCCGTCACCACAATTTACTGCTCAGATCCCAGAAATTTCTGCAATCGAATCGTTTCTTCGCATTTATCTTCCATAAAGGCCTTTGAGCATTTCTCGCGCTGCTTTGATTGTTCAAAGAATTCGACCTCTCATGGATATTGTAGAATGTTGGGCAAGACAGTTCTTTTACCGTTCACAGCGGTATCAGAGCCAAGGCAGATCCAAGACGTTCAGCTGGCAGATTCCAAGGAAGTTTTGCGGAAGGGATCGAACCGGCACACTGAATTATCTCCTTCTTGATACACTGACATCACTAACCACTGCACTACTCCTCCGCGTTATTTCTCCATCGTAATTTGCTCAACTAACTCATGGCAAAACAATGTTTAAACGACAACTGAAAAAAGACGATACAAAAAAGCAGAGTCAGAGTGACACTTACGACTAATCCCGTATCTGGATCATATCCAGCAACCACAAAGTAATCAACAAGCGTCGTTTCCACGTCCTCTTTCCGAGTGGCCATAACTCTGGTAGCAATGATTTTTAAATGGTGAGGTATATTGTCTTGAAATCATGGCGCCAACTCATGACATCGCACCTTGAATTATATTTATACGGAAGCAATAGTTCAAAAGACCAACTTTCTATAAGCCTCAGCACTAATAATCAATGACGGCAGATAATGCGTCGTAGCGTAGAAAGAGTGTTGGCAAAATAGGCGTAAGTAGCACAACGAGTTAAAGCACGCGCTTCCGGATAGAGTGAGATGCTGGTTCTAGTCCCGCCTGACGCAAAAGTTTTGCACATCACTCTACATCAATGGGTACAGTCGAAAATATATGTAAATCGTAGAGACTTATCTCAATTAGCCGAAGTGAGGTTAGTAATGTTAGTAGTAGTAGCAGTAATAGCAATAGCAGTTCGATGGATGACTTTCGGACTACTCGCCTTCTTCAGAGGCTGGACGTACGTTGTAGTAGACTATTTGAATAATCTGGGGAATCTTTTATATACCGCCTAGGTAGATCACGCCTGATAGTAACGCGCCCGCCCTTTCGGTTCATTACTGCATTTTTAACATTTATTCAAAACGTTATCGAAAATAAGGTGGGCCGGACAACAGATGCGCTTAACCACAACCGATGGACGAGAGCCGTTACCGACTGGATTACTCGGGACATCAAACGCTCCACAGGAAGACCGCCGACCTCGTGGTCCCATTTCTTCACGAAAATCTAAAAAAGATATGATGCTTGAGGAATCCCTAGAACGAGGAGGACTTACCGGGCTACTCCTCCACGTGATAGGGAAATGGAAGCACTGCAAGTGTACGCTCGAGTAGCTCGACGATCAACGGGACGACAAGTGATCCCGGTGATCCAAAACGCAAGTTTTGCGCGTTAGCTCCAATTAGACCCCCAAAACGACATTTCGCATGATTCTTTTTCCAGCTGCCCTTTATATCAGACGAAGTTAGTGGCGCTATTAAGTGGTGCCTAAAAAGATGTGGTCTTGAAAGTTCTGTGGCAGTCATGGAACTCCCACCTCCAACCCTGCAACGTCAGCTAGTTCGCAATCGCCTTTGGGACCGATTGTGCAACACAGGATAAAAGGATACAGGATACAGCTCTTGGTGTTGAACAATCCCTGAGGGATGTGCCATGCATTCGCCATTAAATTCTAACTTCGTTAGAGGTGACTGAATGTATGTCTCGCCTTCACAATGACTCGCGGTGCCTTCGCGCTGCATCGAGTAAGCGCTGCTTGTATTCCCAGACAAGTCTGAGAACAGTCTGGTAGCAATTTAGCATCCCCGAAGGGATGGCTGGCATGGTGAGCCAAGAGCACGAAGTCGAACCGTCGACCTTGTGTGCGACGCAAAGCACCTCTAACCACTGCGCCACATGCGCTCTATATGGAACACAGAAAACTATAAATCAGGAAGAGAGGGACGATTGTATGTGCTCCGGTATAATATATTCAATAACATGTAAGGCATGCGGGGAAGATTACACTGGCAAAACGGGTACACCACCTTTCGTCTGCATAGTATCCAGTATCAAAAAAGTACACCTCTAGGTACTCATAGGCACAAAAGCACAACGGTAATGATTCTGGAGTGACTGTCACGATCCTAGGGAAGGAATCGAAAGCATCAAAGCGCGAAACCCTTAAGCACCTTGTATTAGCGCTAAAAATTCAGGAATGGATGGGAAGGACGGATGCGTCACTATCAGGCGCAACCTCGCGCAGTTTCTTCGTTTGATCACTTGGCCTGATCTGGGCGGTGAGTAAAGAATCCCCGAGCCATTTAAATATTCAAATAAAACCTACGTCGAGGCTCTGAAGAAGGCGAAGTCGCTGGGACGTCAGCTATCGAACTGATACTTCCAGTAGTGCTACTACTGCTACCATTACCAATCTCGGGTCGGCTGATCAAGATAAGTCGCTAAGGTTTACATATATTATGGAAACTCTCAAGAAAGCTAACGAAAATCTTGAGTGGAGGATGTCATAACACAGTCGAGAGGGCATAGTGAGATATCAAAATTTCAAACAGGAATGATAAATTTGAAAAATTGGTAAATAGAACTTATTGATTGATTATCATCATAAAAATTTTCTCTTATTCACCGCTTTTAGCGACGGGGTAAAGTTACAAACATACCCAATAATATCTAAGAGAACTGAGCGCTGAGCAAAAGTCCGACCTCAAGCGGGAGTTGAACTCGCGTTTCACCCATACCGGCCACTACCACTATACCACCAAGGCCACGGCCTACTCACCACTCATTCTTCAATATCCCACTACCATAGCTATCAGCCACCAACCATTGATAGGTTTGGACGGGTGAGCACATATCCTTTCTAAACCCCATTAAGCACAATAGCTGTCAGCTTAACTTTTCTGGAGAATGAGTGGTGTGTAAGCGGTGGCCTCGGTGGTGTAACGGTAGCACGCGCCCCCGGTAGCGGGGAAATACGGGTTCAACTCCAGCCTGAGGTTGGATTTATGCTCACCACTCAATTCTCTCAGATATATTTTAAAAATCATAGCACTGCGAAAAGAGCAGTTCAAACATAAGGAATCCTGAGTATGACCAACAATGCTGATTGATGTGCAAAACTTTTGTGTCAGGAGGGACTTGAACCCGCCTTTCATCCTATCTCGGGACGCGTGCTTAACCAACTGCACTAACGACTCCTGTTTTGCCACTACTCTTTCAAAGCTAAAGCGTTATGCCACTAGTTTTTCTACGCTACAAGCTAGTCTATCAAACCAAAACCAACCGGCAACGGTTTGACCAGGCAAACCAATGAACATTGATCCCAGTTGCACTGACAGATACTGGATATATGTGGCCGACAAGATTCATTCATTTAACCCTTAGAAGACCAGCGTTGATAGACAGGAGGCGTCGCGCAATCGCTTGTGGCACGACAAGCAGCTCTGCATGTCTGTGCATGCGCGTTGGTTGCCTGCCCGCTTTCCCACAAGACGCGACGCCGCCGTCACAGTAGTTGAGTGAGATTCGATGTCGCACGATGAGCGTCAAAATGACTCTTATGGTCCTTAAAGGTTAACCGCCTTTAGCAGCTCTAGTGTAGAGTGGTGACAAAAGAGACGCCGGTAGTGCATTTGGGTTAGTACGCGTACTCGGAAAAGATGATATGTGAGTTCGATTCTCGTCTGACTTGTCTGAAATTTTGCACATAACTCAATATTATTCGGTATATCATCATAAAGTCACCAAAAATGTAACCAAAGTAGGGGAATAGGCAGTAGTGACCCCATAGTTACAAAACAATGACTTCAATAGTAATGAAAGCGTTTGAGCCATTCTTAATCTATTAAATCCAATTAATTACAAAAGCTGGCACTTCATTAGAAGTATCGGAGCCGTGTAAATCATGTCTTTTCATAGCAACAGAGTCACTCAAGAGCACTGAGTAGTATGTCAAAAAAATTGACCCCGGCGGGAGTTGAACCCGCATTTCACCCATACCGGAGACAAACAGGTGTCAGCTCATCTGAATTTAAGGCCCGCATGTGATTACTCGACCAAACACGTTGAAGGCTGGTTGCTGACAGCTACGATAGGATTTACCGAGTAAAGAGTGGTAGTAGAACGATGGCCTCAGTGGTGTGGTGGTAGAATGCGTGCTCGGTATGAATGAAGCATGGGGTTCGAGTCCCGCCAGATGTCGAATGTTTTGCATGCTACTCAGGACTTTTGAGTGCTTATTAAGAACGCCACAACACTGCTAAAGACCAGTAAAATCAACAAAAACTAGACTTATAAAAGAATAAAGCCATTATTTTGCAACCACATGCTATTGTGGGCCTATTTCTCTAGCTAAGTCAGATTTTTTCGCGACTCTTTCAGCGAAAATGTAAATAAAGCAGGACGAAAAGTAAGGAAATAGGTGCTAATAACCTTGCGGTCACAGAAAAGACAACTTAATGGAAGGAATTTTTAAAAAACACAGAAAAAGAAAAAAGAAAAAAGAAAAAAGAAAAGAAAGAAGAAAAGAAAGAGAGGAAGAGAGGAAGAAAAGAGGAGGAAAAAAGAGGAACCACCTGACCTCACCACCTAGGAAATGACTGACCACCTCCTGTGATCAATGGGATGTAGGTCTGCGCCAAGTCACGGAGCAGACGCCAATCCAATGCATTGACGTGTTTTACGAGTTCTCCCCTGCATTCAGCGCCTCCTGCCGATAGGAGACCGCGGCCGAGTGGCTATAGTGGTAGTCTGCGTTGCTCGACGGCGGGTTCGATCCTCCCGCCTCTCCTAACAACATCCGGCAATCAGTAATGGGCGCCATGTGGAACTCCCCAACCTGCATATACATGACATTCCAAGGAGATGTACTCAATCAGTATTCTACGGTGTGCATGAAGAAGAGAAATCTTCAATCAAGCGATGCACGCGAGGAGTCCATTTGAATGCTAGAAGTACTCGGATCAACACAGTGAAGAAAACCCTGATATAGATCAAATGAAAGCGGCAGACTGAAAGAGGTTCGATTACTTCGGTAAAAAGGAAACAAATCCGTATCCGACCTCACTCGCTGGAGAAAAATATCCTCTTGATTTGAAAATCTCCTAGTATCTGAATGCCTTCGAGCCACTACTAGAAGCAATCAGGACGTTCTGGCCTCCTCAATCTCACCAAAGTGTCATAATGATAACTGATTTATACGCATCCAAAGCAAATTATCTGGTCTTTTTGTTGCAGGCAGAATCGTTCGTTTTATCTGGAGTTTTTCTTTCGAAGCGGAAAAACAATCCCTAATTGAGTGAGAAAGATAGCACTTTCGTAACTCGGAAATCGACCGATCATCGTGTCAGCTCACCTTGCCGCCTGTCCACACAGTCCGTAAATTGGCCGAAGACCACTTGCCCGCGCATGCGAATTCAATTTTATTTTCCCCGGTGCACCGTAGAGAAGCGGTCTTTTGAGAAAATAAGCATGGCTTTGGAATCAGCAAACATTATGCTATCGATTGATTACTAATAAACAAAAAAGAGCTCTATCCGGCGAGAAATATGCTCGTAAGAAACATAATTCTAGTTTGAACTTTATAGCGTTTTGAAAGGGCTTTTCGAAAACCGACCACGTACAGCTCTAGCCAGAGATTTGCGCTTTCGAATGATTACTAACACTCCTATGAAAGTTCCCGTCCAGCGAGTCGAGATCGGTTTATCATTCGTAGTCAGCACAGAAAGTACCAAACCATGATGTAGATCAACTCAAAGTGACAGAATAAAAAAATTATGACGATGATAATTATGAATATATTGGAATTTGAGCATGGTCTTGAGAAAACACTCGAAGTAGAGGTACAACATTATGAAAAATACCAGCCAAAGAGCAATCGAGTGTACAACACTGTAAATTCGGTGATAATTTCACTTGATTTACAATGTGAATCGTTCGTCGACGCTACCTCTTACTGTGGGGAATTGGTGCACCTCGAGAGGACTGGCTAAAGACGAAGGGCTCTGCCCGACTGACGAAACTGCTCAAGGCCGAAACACTTGTATCGGGCTGTACAACACCCAGACCACATGACATGTTGGCTCAAATAATAATTATGAGAATAAAAATAGTTCTTCTCGGTGAGCAGAAGCGAGGCTTGAGATCCTCATTATGGGTCTTTTCAGCGATGATCCACCAATTAATGGCAATAATTAATCTTTAGAACTTATATTTTACTACTTAAGTAGCAGATTGTCTTTGAAGCGCACACAGCCAGCCGTCTCTAGCCGTTATCCGTAGTAACCACCTGCCAGTCAAAAACAGCCTCCGTCGCGGCTGGGTTCGTGATAAGTTTAACCCTAGTGGTATCGTGGACCCATGTTCTCTGCGTCGCTAGCATTCAAAGTGTTGCGTCTAACAATGGCGTCTAATGGTGTACGCCATTGTCAGACGCAGCACGCTAGGGATCAGACGCCATGGTTAGACGCACCACGTTCAATTTTTCCAGGCTCTGAAGAGGACAGACGCGCCGAAACCTCAGCCATTATTTTCTTGTATTGCATTATAGTAAATAAGGTTCCACTATCAACATCGTCGGGAAACCGCAGTGGTTAGTGGTGCAGTGTATCAAGAAGTAAAGTGATAAGCAAGGCGCTTGTTTGATTTTCTTCCTCGTCTGTCAGAGAGCACCTTAGATCGACTACCTTCTAGTTACTACAATGTGAATTGTCTCAACCAGCATTCTATGACATCCATAAAGAAGACGAAATCCTCAGCATCACCCAGACAACACATGGAATATTTGAAGATCTTTTCAAATTCTTTTTCAATCTTGTAGTGGAGGATGAATATTGAAAGACCATTCCCATCGAAGGCAAGAAGTGTTGGGATCCGCACAGTACTTTGCGATATCGGGTCATGTAAATAAATAACCAATTAGCAGCCTCGCTTCTGTTCATCTAGAAAAACACTAAATTATTCAGCCCGAGCTCAATAGATGATTGCTCGTGGGAATGTCTACGTGTTGCATCAGGTTTTTGAATTGTTCGAACGAGATCGGCTGAATGATAAGTGGATAAATATAGTAGATATCACAAAGATAAGTAGAGATATCTAGATGTCCACGTTCGAAATGATCACAAGAAAGCCTCATTTGAATCGAACATATCTGCTGGAAGGCGGCTTGTGGTTGCAACTACTTTTTCGACACTTACGTAAGCTCGGATAAATGACATATCAGGTCATTGCTTGCTGATGAGAATAAAGGATTCGTTTCAGAAAGCTACCAGTTGGCATAGAGCAAGTAAGGAACGACAGAATATGGCGGATAGGTGGGCTTCAGATCCACTGCAATTCGAAGTTGGCGTCAATTTGGATGATGACCTGGGAAATCCTATAATTGGAGAAGACGTCTTTCTCACTGAACCGTATAAGTGCACGGGTTAGTTCCCTTAGTAAAAAAGACTTTAAGTGCCGCGTTATAGTCTTTTGCAGTCTTTAGCGACCATGAAGACTTTTTAAACAAAGATAAAGCATGTTCATACGAGAAACTGCGCTGTATTTATCCCTGTGTATCGTGACATTGCTCAGTCACTAGTACATGCAAACACTTATCGGAAGTTTTAGGCTTCTTGAAGTTTTTTTCTGTCAGAACACTTTTGCGCATAATCCTAGAATTCAAAGCGAAGCAGCACAATCAATTTAGCGATGCTGCTTCTTTCAGACATGTCTAATAACCAATCTACCTTCCATAAAGGGATCGAGGCCTCAGTGAGCCTGAAATACAGTATCGAACCAATAATCACGTTTTACCGCAGGCATAGCGCTAACACTGAGCCACGCGTAGAGCCACTATCATGGATCATCCTGTAGAGGGATCTCTGTCAAATAGTCACCATTACTAGTGGCTCGTTCGCCCTGTGGTGTACAGGAGGAACCAAACGCGCATCAAGAGCCACCATGCGACTTCCAGAGACGATGGTGGATTCAGAGCATGGACTCTTTATTTCGGCAGCGGCGATTTAGTAAGCTTCAATTTTGCAAAGCTGGCCAGATGCCTGCAATCAAGTGACTGGCAGTGCATGGGAGGAGGTTGGAAATCGCCACCATGAATAAGCTCCTCTTTGTTCCTCCCGGAGAGGCTGGCAAGCTACCTGTGAGTATCCAATCCCCACGTTCAAAACTCAGCAACTTATACGTTTGGTGAAATGCCAAAACA